GTCAACAAGGCATACAGCCTGCTTGCCTTCATCGGCTGTGGCACTCAGTTTAAAAATCGGCAGGTAATGTTGCAGTTTTATAGAACCTTAGTTAAACATCATTTGGAATACTGTATTCAATTCTGGTTGCCACACTACCAGAAGGATGTGGTGGTTTTGGGGAGGGCACAGAAAAGATTTACCAGGATTTTGCTTGGTATGGAGGGCATCAGCTATGAGGAGAGGTTGGAGAAACTTGGGTTGTTCTCAGTGGAACAACGGAGGTTGAGGGGTGACCTGATAGAGGTCTACAAGATTATGAAGGGCGTGGACAGAGTGAATTGTCAGAAACTTTTTTGCAGGGTGGAAGAGTCAGTTACTAGGCGGCATAGGTTTAAGGTGTGAGGGGCAAGGTTTAAAGGTGATGTACGAGGCAGGTTTTTTAAACACAGAGGGTGTTGGGTGCCTTCAATTCGCTGCAGCGGGAGATAGTGGAAGCTGATACGACAGTGACTTTTAAAGGGCGTCTCGACAAATACACGAATAGGATGGGAATAGAGGGATACTGTTCCCAGAAGAATAGGGGGTTTTAGTTGTGACGGGCAGCATGTCGTTGCAGGCTTGGAGGGCTGAAGGTCCTGTTCCTGTGCTGTAATTTTCTTTGTTCTTGTTCTTCATCTGGCAGGTAGGTGGATTGGAAACTGCATATTAATAAAGCAATATCAAATAGAAGATAACAATGTGTAGAGCTGGATGAACACAGCAGGCCACGCAGCATCAGAGGAGCAGGAAGGCTGACGTTTCAGGCCTAGACCCTTCAACTGAGACAGTTTGGTATTGAGTGAAGCTGTGGGCTGTTTCTTTAAGCCTGCTTTAAAGTTTAGATTGCTCTTTCTGCCAGACCGTCGGATGATGGATGATATGCAGCTGTCCCTTTATGCTGAATGCTACTTGACTTTAGGAAATTTCCTTGCTGGTAAACAATGCCCGTTATCTGTGACCAGCACTTCCCAGAGCCATGTATTGCAAAAGATGCTTGCAGCTTTTCTATCTTCATCCCCACGTTTGACAAATGAACCCTATGCACATCCAACCACTTTGAGTGCGCACCCATAGTGACTAGGAACATTGAGTCAATGAAAGGGCTGGCATAGTTGATGTGTAACTGAGTCCAGGGTTTACCTGGCCATTCCCACGAATGTGGGGGAGTGCTGGCAGTAATTTTTGTCCTTGTTGGCACACTGGGCACTGCTCCATCAATGCAACAACGTCTGCATCCAATCCTGGCCAGTGGACATAATGTCTCACCAACATCTTCATTTTGGACACCCCTGGATGACCCTGGAGGAGTTCAGCATGTATCTGGCGACAACCTTTACTTGGGACAAATGCTCTCGTTTCCCATAATAAAATTTCATCCTCTACTGTGATCTGGTCTTACCAGGTCCAGAAAGGTTTCAATTCTGGTTGTGATCCCCCTTTTATTTCTGTCATCACCACCAGCAGTTTTAATTTTGCCAGGTCAGGATATTTTTTTGTGTATATAGTCTGATATTGTCAGTTGTGACTGGAAGGGTGTTCAGAAAGTTTAAAACCAGAACAGATTCTTCTAGTGGCAGCACCACCAGTGGTGTATCCACCAATGGGAGGCAGCTCAAGGCATCCGCATTTGCCACTTGGCTCCAGGACAGCATTCCAACTTGTAATTGTACGCACTTAGAATGACAGGCCACCACGAAATTCAACCTGAGGCTAGGGGCAGCACAGCCTTGCCCTTGTAGGTGCAAGATGGCAGTACAATAGGATGCTCCAGCTGAAGCTCCACTGCTTCGCCAGTTCCTTTTTTTTCTCTTTTTTACCCTTTTCTGGGGTTTTTCCCCTCAAACTTTTAACTTCTAAACTTACCCAGAAGGAATGAAGGAGGCAACTCCCAGACCGGATGCTGTTGCTGGTGAGTCCTGAGGCAAGTCTAAGATGCTAGAGGTGGGTCCTGGAGGTGAGTCCCCGGCCGGAGGCTGGTGCAGGAGGTGAGTCTTGCTCGTGAATCCCAGACCGGAGGCTGGCGCAGGAGGTGAGTCCCAGAGCGGAGGACGCTGCAAGGAGGTGAGCCCCGGGAGCCAGTCAATTATAGCATTCTTGTGGAAATACTCATCTAACCGCAATTGCAGATATGCATGGCTCATGTCTAGCTTTGCGAAGGAAGGTGCCCCCACCAGCTTTGCGTATAAGTCCTCCATGCAAGGGATTGGGTACTCATCCAGCTGCAGAATGCAGTTTTAATGTTTCTTTAAAATCTCCACAAAGGCTCAGTCAGTCATCTTAACCTCAAAAATCCTGATGTGGATTCCTCTTGTTCTAGAACTGCCAAGTAAAACCAATAGCATCCCAGAATTAGAGGAATCTTGGCGTCATGATATTAGAATTAGAATTAGCTTTTATTGTCACATGTACTCATTTGCATGAGTACAGTGAAAAGTTTACAAGCTGCCACTTATGGCGCCATTGGTACAAATGTATCTCGGCACAGCAGAAAAATATAGAAAGCAAGTTAAGAAGTTATATATTATAGTCCGTCTTACTAGGGCATAGAAAAATAAAGAAACACAGTTAAACGTTCAACATCTCAGTCCATAAGTGCCTGGCCATGCTGGGCTCGCACTCCTCACAAAGGCTTGATCTCCCCCTCACTGCCGGCTCTGGCTGCCTGCTCCTGCTCCTGCTCTCACTTTAACCAAATCTGTCAACTCTTGAAAGGTTTTAGTATCTGGTGCCTCAGAAAACATTAGGCTTCTAATAACCAAAAAAAAGCTGTGGGTCTACAAGCTGTCAGGAGAATTACTTGTTGCTTTTTATCTGCCCCAATATCATTTGCTGGAAAAAAAACATTCTTTCTACATACTGGGCTTAGGCAGGATCGATTGAGTCAACCTTCCCAAATAATGGCATGATGCCAGAAATGCATACTCCAACTCAAAGACTGTTGCGAGCGACTTTCTTCAGGAGCGTGTTTTCTCTCATCGCCACTGAAATAACCACAAAGGCCAGTATCTTGTCACCAAGTTAGCCTTTATTTACACCTGCAAAGTACTTGACACTGGTCCCACTTCCACAGAGACAGCTCTCAGAGAGCACAGAACCTGACACTCCTGTTTATATCTGTTAGCCAGGCTTCTCAGATTGGACCAGATTAACAGATCCAATCAGGGAACTCATATTCTGTGAGGTCCACCTGGCTGACCTCATTACAATCACTACAGCTCTCTTCCTTAAACCCCCAATTCACAAGCATTACTGATATTTATTTTATCCCCCATAGGAATGACAAAGGCAAAATAATTATTAATTTCATTTGACATTTCTTTATACTCTCCTATTAACTCCCCATTCCTACCCTCTAGATGACCAACATAAACATAGTTTCTGTACTGTTAACTGTTTTTACATTTCTAGCTAGCTTGCTTTCACGCTCTAATGTATTGTCTTGACTAATATTTTTGCCATTCTTTGCCAGTCTTCATTTTCTGACCAGTCATCTGACCTGCCACTCATCTGTGCATGATTATATGCTTGTCCTTAATTTTGTTACTTTCCTTAATTTTCTTACTTAACCACAGTTGGTTGGTCCTCCCTTTGGAATTTTAGATTATAGTAAAAAAAGTACTTATTTTGAATATTCTGAAATGTATCTTTTAATGTCTGCTACTGCTTCTCTACTGATGTATCTCTCAGCTAGGTCACTTCAGTTAGCTCAATTTTCATGCCCACATTGTTGCCTTCATTTAACATGAGAAGTAGTAAATAAAATTGTTGAAGCTCTTTGTCTTGTTGCCAACATTCTGTTTAAGATAGACTGTGGTTTACACAGCCTGCTTGGCCTGGTGTGGTAGAGGAAAATCATTTCCAGTTCCAACAAGAAGAGTAATTAACAAGATAGAGATAATTGCATGTTATTAACTAGTTACAGCCTACATTGAGATGATAGTCATTGTTATAGGGACTTTGAGGAGGACTAGACAGGGTAGATACAGGCAGGATGTTCCTGATGGTGGGTGTGTCCAGGACCAGGGGTCATAGTATGAGGATTCAAGGTAGATGATTTAGGATGGAGATGAGGAGACATATCTTACCAAAGAGTGGTGAGCTGTGGAAATCATTACCAAAGGAAGTAGTTGATGCCAAAACATCAAATGTATTAAGAGGCGGCTAGATAGAGCACTTGGGGCAAATGGGATCAAAGGTTATGGGGAGAAAGAAGGATTTAGCCATTGAGTTGGATAATCAGCCTTGATCATGATGAAAGGCGGAGCAAGCTCAAGGGGCCGAATGGCCTCCTCCTGCTCCTGTCTTCTATGTTTCTACGATCAGTTGATAGGTCTCATGACATTAAGCTGTACTGCCCGCAAGTCTGCATGACATGATAGTGGGTGGCAGTTAACCGTTTCAGATCATTATACAACATGTTGCTCTCCACATCATGGTCCAAGATCTCCAATGCAGTATGAAAGGTTTGGTAGCCCAATCTATCTTTTTCCATGTTTTTAGCTCTCCCAAATCAAAACTGATTTTAGAATAACTTAAAATTCCAGCCAAAATAGACCTTCCTTTAGGAGGTAATACGGTTGTTACATTGCTTGAACTAATGCTGACCTCTCAAGTTTTCCACCTCCTCACTTAGCATACTTAGCAATGGCTGTGAACAACAATAAATTATCATATACCATAAAGTATGCAGCTATCTTCGAACAGATGAATGCTAGTCATTTACACATTATGAACTTCATGCCTGTTTTTGAAACTTACTGAATTTCATAGTCTATGAAACATTTGCTTAAATTATTACACAGCTCATTTCTTCCAGACGCTCATTACGCTTAACCAAAGCAAACAGACCATTCAAATATGCAGAGATAGCAGGAACTGCAGATGCTGGAGAATTTGAGAGAACAAGATGTAGAGCTGGATGAACACAGCAGGCCAAGCAGCATCAGAGGAGCAGGATTCAAGTAAGCATTTTTTTTTACCTCTGAAAGAGCTTTTAACAATGCATCCATGTAGTCATTCATTGGCAATTGCAAATCATCCTGCATCGCATTCTGAACAGCCTTATTCACAATTTCTTTTACATCTGGGTGGTCCTCTGGAATTTCCAATTGTTGCTTTACAGCTTCTAAAACAGCAAAACAAGTTAAACATTAATTTAGAAACCACCACTTGCCATAAATTCTAAATAAAACTAACATTATGAAATATATTTTTCCAGCCTGAAATTTTTTGGAAGTACTTTCCTTTGTAACTGAAGTACAGAACAGATGAACAAGATATTCAGTCAAATGTCCAACATGCTGTGTTAGCTTATCACAATTAAAAGCTGTCCCTTAAGGCATTGTTCTACCTGGTTGATGCTTTGTAACTACAAAGCTGAAAAAATAAATATTTTAATTAAGATCTTCCATGTCACAAAGGAGGCTTCAGGCCAATCCACATTCAATAACTTGTTGTAAAATCTCTGCTCACCTTTTGACAGCTGTAACAAATTCTGTCACATCAGCTGAGACATTCCAAAACATTGTAAAACTGTCACAACAGGGAATGGCCGAACACCTTTCTTCTGTTAATTCTGCTGCCAGGGATGTTTTATCTCTATAATTTCTTCAATGATGACTTTGAGTAAAATACCATGGTACCTTTGATCAATTAGATGGGCTTTCTCTGAGAGCTGAATGGTGCTAACTCTGGCAGCTGGCAGTTGTCTCTCTCTGACTTTCCAAATGCCCTTGTCTTATATACCCTCTCTTTTTCTTTTTGCTTAGCTAAGAGCCTTGACTCACTTTCTTTAACTTCTAACATGACTTTCTTTTCCCTTTCTTCTGCTTGTAACCGTAATTCAAACCCTCTCGCCTTCCTTTCATTCCCTAACTCCAGTTGTCTCATTTGCAATCTAAGTTTTTCTAACTCCATTGCACTTGCCTGTTTCTTTGGTATACCCAAATACTTTACCAACTCCATTACCATGTCAGCTTTCCTTTTATCCCTTGTTAAGCCCAAATTTAACCTGCTTGTTAATTCTAAAAGTATAACCTTTGTCTTTCTAAACTTTCTTGGCAAATTTGGGAAGTATCTTCAAATCCCAGAACCTCTTTAGCAATGTTAAGAATCATTTCTCTCACTTTTAATTTAACCAATGACAAGTAACTGAAATTAAACAGATTTTTCTCACCTAAATTTTATTTAAAGATCTAGGACACTAATCCCCAAGTCTGTTTAAATCTGTCCAAATCCCTTCAGATCCCGTACACGAACCGTCCAGATCCCAGTCTCAATCTGTCTAAATCTGTCCAGATCCCGGACTTGAGCCCCCAATTTTTGTTATGATGGGGACTGGCCAAACCCCTCTGATATAATTAAACTAAAACACAAGCCCTGATCTGTTATGACAAGAATAGGAGTTCCCCTCTAATAATTACCCCCGAAATACCCAGAGAATCCCCTCATAATCGATTAAAAGAGTGGTTAAAAGAAAGAAAATCCCTGATATCCGCTTTACAAGTAACAAGAAACTATTTATTTATTTAACTCAACAATGAACAAATTAACAAAATTATGAAAAAATCCGACCAGTACCCCTTAGACTGCTAACTACTCCCTAACTGGTCTAAATTCTACTGGAATGCTGTTTAAATAAAAACAAGTCCTAAACCCAATTAATAAGAAGCAGATGCCTACAAAAATAAATGACAATCAAAGGATACGGTACAACAGAAGACACTAGTAACGCTACCCTACATCAAAAATATATCAGAAACAACAACCAGATTCTTTAGACTGCATAAGATCATGATTGCACACAAACCTACATCAACATTGCATCAATTGCTATCAAAGACTAAAAACCCCACACTGACAGGAAACAGGACTAAAGTGATATACAGAATCCCATGCAGCAAGTGCAATAAACAGAATGTTGGGCAAATGAGGAGGAATCTGATGACCAGGATATATGAACACCAGCTAGCAGTAAAAAAAATGTCCAATGTTCACTTGTCTCAATATATACAGACAATGAGGGCCATCATTTCAACTGGGACAAAGTGATTATACTGGGTCAAGTGAACCACAGACATGCAAGGGAATTTCTGGAAGCCTGGTTCTCAACACGGGACCCCATTAACAAACACATAGAAATAGACCCCGTAAACAGACCGCTGCTAAAAGAACAGAACTGGAAATGACAAGACCCACCACACCAGAGGATCATATGAATTCAGAACAGAGCAGAACACCAACAACTTGATTAGAGGTCGCACAGATGATGTTGCCTAGAATGATAACGAAATGTCTGCACCCCACGGAACAACTGGCTCAGCGAGCTAACGAACAACTGCATTCACAACCTGAACTGCAAATTTTCACTAAGACTTTAAAAAAGATTTGATCATTCGTTGTTGTATATCACTCAAATTCATGAATAAGCCTAAGGCTAGCATCTTCGGTCCTAAAAAGTGTCCAATTCTCTGCAATGTGAAAACTTTGACATTTTTTTCCTTCAGTCTCTTTGGATGCATTTTGTTGGATCCCTTTTCAACTTGAAGTACAAACACTCTATTTAACACCTCTTTCGTGTTAATTGTAATGCCTTCTCTGTAATACAGCAGGAAGATAAATTAATTAAATATTTGTTGCATTTACAGAACCTATATGTCTTCAAGATAGTTTAGTACTGTACTGTGTTTCAGTATCTGTCATGATGGGTTACTGAATAATCCTTAGTAGGAACACATAAACTGCTCAATTACTACCTTATAAATGCTTTAAGATGAGCTCATAAACTGTTGCTTTGTTCACTTCACAAGCAGAGTGGAGTTTAAAGTTTCTGTTGATTTTCTTGTTTTGGGCATTATCCAAGAAGCCACTCAACTACTCAATTTTCCATTTCCCATTTATGAACAAACTTACTTCAGACTTTATTTTCAAACTTTCAAAGAACATACTCAAATCACCTAAATTTACAATAATCTTTTAGAAACATTGAAAATAGAAGCAGGATTAGACCATTTGGCCCTTCAAGCCTGCTCCACCACTCAATATCATTATGGCTCATCATCCAACCCAGTACCCTATTCCATCTTTCTCCCCATGCCCTTTTAACATTTTAACATTTTAGCCCTAAGAACTATATTTTCTGCCTCAACTGCTTTCTGCAGCTGAGAATTCCATAGGCTCACCAGCCTCTGGATAAAGTAATTTCTCCTCATCTCAGTCCCAAATGGCCTACCCTGTATCCTTAAACTGTAACCCCTGATTCTGGACTAACTGGTCATCGGGAACATCCTTCCTGCATTGACCCTGACCAGTTTTCTATGAGATTCCCCTCATTTTTCTAAATTTCAGTGAAAATAGTCCTTACCCATCCAGCCTCATGTTATACATCAGTGCTGCCATCCCAGTAATCATTCTGATGAACATTTGCTGCACTCCCTCCATAGCCAGAAAATCCTTCCTCAGGTAAGAAAATCAAAACTGCACACAAAATTTGAGGCATGGTCTCACCAAGGCCCTGTACAAATGCAGTAAGACATCGCTGCTCCTCTACTTAAATCTTCTCAAGCCTTCTTTATCGTTTATTCCTACTTTTTGTTTTCTGTCTGCCAACCAGTTCTCTGTCCATGTCAGTAATCTACGCCATCCCATATGCTTTACTTTTGCATGCTAATCTCTTATATGGGACCTTTTTGAAAGCCTTCTGAAAGTCCAAGTAAACTACATCCACTGGCTCCATCTTATCAAATTTACTAGTTGCATCCTTGAAAAATTCCAGTCGGTTTGTCAACCACGATTTCCCTTTTGTAAATCCATGCTGACCCTGTCTAATCCTGTCAATGTTTTCAAATCTTTTATACTGGACTCTATGACTTTCCCCTTTACTGATGTCAAACTAACCTGTCCATAATTATCTGTGTTCTCTCTCCCTCCTTTTTTAAATAGTGGGGTTATGAGAGCTATCTTCCAATCAATAGAAACTCTTCCAGAGTCTATAAATTCTGATAAGCTGACTATCAATTCATCTAGTATTTCTGGGGCCATTTCCTTACGTCCTCTCCGAACATACATTATCTGGCCCTGGTGAGGTATTGGCTCTTAATCCCATCAATTTCCCCGACATCAATTCTCTACTAATACAGATTTCCTTCAGTTCCTCCCTCCAAATAGACTTTTTGTTTCCCAATATTTTTAGGACATTATTTATGTCCTCCTTTGTGAAGACAGAACCAAAGTATGTGCTTAATTGTTCTGCCATCTCCTTGTTGCCCGTTGTAACTGGAACCCAAGCTTCCTGGCTCAGAGGTAGAACAATGACTACTACATCACTACAGCCTTTTCCACTTCCCTGCGTACTAAATAGGTTTTACCCTCCTGTTCATCTTTTTATGAATCACTAATTGTTACAGCTTGTCCTCAACAAGAAGGATTTATTCTCCCACTTTATTCATTTGGTCCACTTCTGCTCTTATTTCATATATTCGTATGCATGTTCATACAATGTGGAGGTGCCTACTTTAGAAATAAAACCAGTCTGACTCCAAACCAAAACACAAACAGATTCTAAACAAGATCTCACACCTAATATACATTGTCTGACCTAAAATGTCACCTCTTCTTTACACTGATAAAACCTTTAGTTCTCTCAGTACAGTGACTTGAAAGGAATTTGGGGATTTACATATACATATTAATCAGTTAAAACCTTCTACCTGATTAAAGATTTAACAGCATCTTAGGTTTGTTTAATAGATCCACATCGATGGTGTCACCCTTTGATCTTTTACTTATAAATTCTGTGTCTGATACTAACTCTCTCACTAACACTTGAAGAGGCTCCGAAAGCTTGTGTTTTTAAATAAATTTCAAATTGGACTATAACCTGATATCATCTGATTTCTGACCTTGTTCCTATGAACCACTGGGGTATTCCAGTCATTTGAAGTTATGTTTCAACAGATTAAAAATGCATTATAATTTCTGCTTTTAGTGATTCATTATCACTGTCAACCCTTTTTCAAAGGGTAAGAGGTTTTACACATTTTCGTAGCCTTATGATAAGCCACTAATGAATATCTTCTGGGAGTCAAACTTAAAATATATTTTCCTCCTAAAACAATGGTAAAATGT